TCTTGTGGGGGTGGGGCCCCCGGCGGGTGTGGCCGCACCGGGTCGTCAGGGCTGAGAGCCCCTGGCTGTCCCCACCCACGCAGCTGGTCCTGCTGCTCCGCTCCGCAGTTCACCCATTCGCTCCCACGCGGTTCCGGGCCGGGCTCTCCCCGAACCCGCGTCAGCCGCCGGGGCCACACCCGGTTTCTGTGGCCCGAGGCCTGCCCCTCGGGAGCGGACTGTCCTCGGCTGCTTTTGCGCACTGTCCCTTCTGCCGAGGGCTCCGCTCCCTTTCGGCGACAGCCGGGCCCCGGGCCCCAGGCCCCGCCCCGACCGGGAACCCGCCCGTCCGGAGCGTCGCGCCCCGTTTCAGCGGGGCCCGCCCGAGCTGAAGCTGTCCCAGCTTCCCAGGGTACACGCCTGTGACCGTCTTCGGCCGCAGCCGCGAACCATCGGTGCAACCCGACTAAACTTCCTCTGGAAGTCGGTCCGGGGACTGGGGCTGGGACCCGGAAAGGCAAACATTGCCGGGCCGAGGTTGTCATTGCTTTCCTAAAGCGACCACGGAGTCCAGGCGAGTGGGACCAAAGGTAGCATGCGGGGTCCTCAGTCACAGCTCGGGCCTGCAGAGCCGAAGCCCAGGCGCTCTCGGAGCGAGCTCGGTGGGGAGAAACGCCCGCCAGGGCAGCGCTGGGTGGGCCAGTCACCGTGGATTCACTGTTTTTAATTCTGGTGCTGGTTCCCCTGAGGCCTCTGAAAATGTTTCCTCCTTACGTTTAAGGGAGAGGAGGGAAATAAATCTAATATTTTAGAAAAGGAAACAACCTCTAACTAACCACGAAGGGATTCGAACCCTCAATCTTCTGATCCGAAGTCAGACGCCTTATCCGTTAGGCCACGTGGTCAACGTGGTAAGGCCTGGCTTCGCCACTTAGAAAGTGGAAAGAACTCTTGTCCTTCCTGAGGGTTTCGCCACAATAAGACGATAAAGGCATTCACTCCAACTGTGTTTTGTCATCGGAAAAATGGTTAAGCTCGCACGTACGCGGGTTGCTGGGCCCACGGAATCGAGGTTTACGAAGCGCCGGGATGTGATTTCCGACTTGCGGTTTGTGGCTGTTCATGGAGAGAATGTCGCTGGCTCTAGAGCTCTGGAGGCAGAAGAAGTGGAATTTATGGGACGTAAGAGACGTCGAAATACTGCGTAGTTTGCATTGAGCGGATTTTAAATACATTTACTTGGGATTTCTTCCCTAGTTATGCCCACCACGTTCACCATTTACAAACACCAGTTCTCAGGGCTGTCCTGTAGGCACTGCCACCGCCAGGCCATGCCCGTGCCACCCGCTGCTCGCTCTGCAGGTGGCCCCCCCTCCCCGCTCCTGTGGCGCCTCCTCTGGTCTAACCTGTTATCTGGGTGCTTTCCCCACGTGTTTCCATCTGTTTGAAAACTAATGCTTTTCTAGGGTGTTTTTCTGAGGATGTGAGAGGATTGTGAGGCCCCAGAATACTAAGAAGTGAAGAAACAGAGAAATGCAAACATTTCAATGACTAGTGGTTTTTACATTTGTAGGTGAACCGAGGCGGGATGATGCAGGGCAATCATTCTCTGATCTGCAGGACCCTTGTGTTCTGTGGAGTGCCGGGTCCCATACGTGGGCAGATTGAAGTCACATTGGGATGGCTTCTTTCATGCCTGCCAGGGAGGCCCTGTGACCTCATACACCTGATCTGAAATTAATGTGAGCGTCCACAGTAAGGGCCGACACCGGGAACAGCTGCCCTCCTGGTTCATCAGCAATGGGTCTAGGCTTGGGTGGATTGAAGCCAAGAAACTGGAGCAGACACAAGCCCTGGTGCATATCATATCCTCTCCATCGTCCATAGAATAACATCTGGCAGGCATAGGATTTCATTTAAAAATGTGAGTTCCTCGTATGCTTTCTTTTTTTGCATTTTGCAATCATCTTTAGCGTGGGAATTATTTAACAGATTCTCCGCCCAGCAGAAATCTGCAGATGGACTTGTCGCCCTCTTCAGGCCGCAGGGAGATTGGGCAATCTTCAGTCCACACTGAGGGCGAGACCACCCAGAGAACAGTGGTAGAGGGCTTGAGAAGTGGTGGAAATCTGGATGTGAAAGGATGTGCTGGGGTGGGAGTGGGAGAGAAATAGAACTCATATTCCTCCCCAGGGAAGGTTTTGTTACAGTTGTGTTAAGAGAGAACATGTCCTGCGATGAGGATGACTGGAGGAGGAGCACTTAGAGTGTGTGCATGTGTATGGGGGTGCAGAGCTGTCTTAACTGACTGGCAAGAGTGGCATAGCCCCTTTGGCACCCTGAATAAATCTGTTTATAATGAAAGGGTAGTTAATAATAATTGGGTGATCATGTAAGTCGTTCTTGCAATAGTAGGGTGTACCTGCAGAGATCACAAATTTTCATTTCTGCTTTATAAATAACCCTAATTCCCGCATTTTCTGAAATACCTAGTTCCACGTTTTTAAACTTGACGTGAACAAAGTTACAGAATATTGATTATGTGGAAAAGAAAAACAAAAACCATCAACTTAGCAGAGGATGGTTTCGATCCATCGACCTCTGGGTTATGGGCCCAGCACGCTTCCGCTGCGCCACTCTGCTGCTCTTACAGCCGCTTACTTATAACGTACTTCAGCCTCTGTAGTGGTGATGTGCTCAGAACTCTCGCAGAAAACGGTAACCTACTTTAAATAAAAACCGCGGCTACCACAGAATGCCACCTGTCCTTGAAATAATGGCACCAGGATCAAAGAGAAAGACAAGACGCCACCAGGAAACAGTAAACCCTGACGCCGCGGCGCGGCCGCCGCCCCGCGGCCGCGCGCCCCCCAGGGACCCCGGCGCCAGCCACGAATGCGCCCGCCGGGAGGAAGCACCCCGGGCCTCCGGGGGTCGGCGGCGGCGAGGCGATCGCGCGGCTGCCCGCTCCTCTGAGGGTGCCGACCCCCGCGGGCCCCGCCAGCAGCCCGGGCCGCCGCAGCTCCGGCCGCAAGGGCCACGACGCCAAGGCATCACCCTAGCTGTCGGGAGGAGCAAGTCGCAGTCGCTGAGAAACGCTGGCTCGTCGCGTCCGCTGCGGTTAAAACGAGCGGAAAACTGCCATCAGGGAGCTCGGGCCCGGAGCCGCCGGTTTCGCTCGCGCGGAGGGCGGGGCTAGAGTAGTCGGCGACGTCACTATGGGGGTGCGGCAAAGCTAGAAACGGAAGTGCCCGCGCGGTTGGTGTTCAATTAGGTCCGCAATCTATGTATTTAAGGGGGATTCCCGGTTTAGGTTGGTGCGAGTGTGAGACTCCTAGTTACAGTTGGGAGCAATGTCTGGTCGCGGCAAAGGCGGGAAGGGCCTGGGCAAGGGCGGCGCCCAGCGCCACCGCAAGGTGTTGAGGGCATCACCAAGCCGGCCATCCGCCGCCTGGCCCGGCGCGGCGGCGTCAAGCGCATCTCCGGCCTCATCTACGAGGAGACCCGCGGGGTGCTCAAGGTGTTCCTGGAGAACGTGATCCGGGACGCCGTCACCTACACCGAGCACGCCAAGCGCAAGACGGTCACGGCCATGGACGTGGTGTACGCGCTCAAGCGCCAGGGCCGCACCCTCTACGGCTTCGGCGGCTGAGGTGCTGCCTCCTACGGCGTTTCTCGATTCCGAACCAAAGGCCCTTTTCAGGGCCGCCCACCTTGTCCTTAAAGGAGCTTGTTTGCCTCTTCCGGGGCGCCGGTTTCGTGCATGGTTCGTGCTTCTGATCCTTATCAGGGATCTGTGGGTGGTTCCAGGGAGTTGCCTACGTAATCGTTCTTGGTGGCACTTCAATTAGGTCACCACGATTTCGGGGTGGTTTAGGGAGCCTGTTGGCGCCTGATTTCCCCGAGGTTCTTTGGCTGCAAGGGAGCTCTATGATTGAGGTTGGGGACCCGGGGGACGTGGCACCGCCTGCGTCGTGACGCGCCAAGATGGCGGAGATCGGGGAACAAAGGACGGCGACCGCGCCGTGTCCGCGAGCGGACCTGTGGTCCGTGTTTTAGCGCTCCCTGGGGCTGTGCATGGGTCGGCAGCGCGCCGTCGTGGCGAGTTCGCTCCTCGGAGATCTGGGCCCCCGGACTGCGGTGCGTGAACACCTGGCTGAGGGATAGAGATGGCGCCTCTCCATCGCGCAAGTGCAGGGGCAGGGACAGTCCGCCCCGGCAGAGTCCTCACTTCCCGCGGTTGCAGTAGAGCAAGCTCCCCAAGGCTTAGTCTATTCTGCTGCCACGTGCCCCGGCTACTGCAAGGGGGTTAGTACCGGGGATGGTCGCGGCACGTCTTTGGTCCTCTCAAGTTTAGAAAGTCTCCCCTTTGCATTTGGTCACCTTGATTTTCTGGAGACCCCATATGGGACGTTCAGGGTTGGCTTGTGTCCCGAGTTCCTCAGAATGATTTGCACAGCTTTAAATGAAGTCAGCTTAGTATTAGGGACTGGGGCGGGAGACACGTCCATGCTATTGCACCCTCTCAGGGACCCATGATGGGAGGCTTACTCAAACTCAAGAGGATAGTTTAGGGCGCTAGTTCCATTGTCAAGTCAGGTGTTTCCTCCTGGGGAAGGGTAGGGCAGGTACTCAGAAGGCCGAAGGAGTTGGCGAAACCAATGAAGTTATTTTGATTTCATGTATAAAAAATATGGGTTTTTGTGCATAAATAGAAAAAAAAATCAGATGTGACTGGAGGCAAGGCACTGGCTAGAGGAGAATTTACACGAGCATTTTAAGAAATAACAAATCGAGCACGTAGAATAGCATTTGCCAGGCACCGTTAATTCTCTGGGAGTTATTACAGCAATGAAGGACTGAATGAAATGTGGTTCCTCTGTTCATCGTGTTGGTGCTTGCGGGGGTGAGAGCACCTGCACACTGGAACGTGCGTGTCAAATGGTGCTGAGTATTCTGCATGAACACTGAGTATTCATGCAGACTTCTACATTTTAAGTTTTAGGTATGTGCCATCTCTGAAGCACGGATGGGAGATAACACGGTCAGGAGGGTGGTTTTCCCAGGATGAGGCTCATCCATGGCACTCCGGGCATGGTGACCCTGTGATGTCCCCACATGTAGGAAACTCAACTGCATAATCCGTGGTAGTGGAGGGCTGTGTACATGCTACACCCCCTCCCCCCCAAAAATACAGGCATAACCTGTCTAGGTGGGGATGATTTTTTTTTTTTTTGAGGTTTTTGCTATAGAGTGCTTGCACTCGCCAGACAGGTAGAGACAGAAACAGAAAGAGAGAAATCACCCTCCGGGGGGATGGCCATGCCGCAATTCCTTCTCTATTCTCTCAGGATTTTAGGCAGACACGCACATGCGCCCAGCGTGTTTTAAGCCACTGGGTCCGGGACTGGAACCGTGGTCAACTACATGGGAGTCCAGTGACATAGCCATTATGCTAACTGCTGGTCCTGGGATGATTTTTTGTTGTCTGTAAGAGAGATTTTTGACTATAAGGGTCCATGTGCTTGCTGGAGAGACAGAGAGACAGAAATTGAGACATCACTGGGATGGAGTGGGCGCACCACAATTCCTTCTCCATTGTTCTCTTGGGATCTTGGGCACACACACATACACACCCAGGATGAGTTTTAAGCCACTGGGTCTAGGACTCAAACCACAGTTGACTACAGGGGAGTCCAGTGACGTGACCATTATGCCATCTGCCGGTCCCTAGGGCGAGACGCCATTCTAAATGACATCGTCACAGAAAGCTTTACGTACAGTGAGGACTCGGGAAAGCAGGGCACAGGAAATGCAGAGGACTCCGTGAAGGCCTGGAAAGCTGTGGCTGAGCCCGGTGGGGGGACAGAGGGGAGAGATGGAGGTTTGCAGCCCTTGCCTGACCTCACCGGCCAGTGTGGCCACCGGGCTTTCACGCTGAGGTTGGAGCCCCTAGTGTTCTGAGAGGGGTGCTGTTATGATTTGATTTGAAGTTTTAAATGATTATCTGTGAGAAGTGGCTAAATTTTGTATATATTTTAAAGGGAAGATTTGTTTAATTTGGCTATTTGGGGGGGGGGGGGGGGAGCCTAGTGAGTAGAGTATGAGAGAGAGAGGATATTCGTGATTATTTATTTTTTAATACAAATTTTGCCAGGAACCAGCAGTTAGCGTAATGGCTATGTCACTGGACTCCCACGTAGTTGACCGTGGTTCGTGTCCAGGACCCGGTGGCTTAAAACTCACACCGGGCGTGTGTGTGTGCGTGCCCAAGATCCTGAGAGGAGAATGGAGAAGGAATTGCGGCATGACCATCCCCCCTGGGGGGTGATTTCTCGCTTTCTGTCTCTCTGTCTCTCTCTCTCTGTCTGGCGAGTGCACGCGCCCTATAGCGAAAATCTCTCCCCCCCAAAGAAAAAATTGCCAGAGGGATTGTATGATTGTTGGAAGGGGGGCGGGGCAGAGAGGAGTAAAACATTCCCCATGCTACAATTTCTTCTCCACTTCTCCCTCCTCTCGGGACTTTGGGCAGGTGCACGCATGTGCCTGCTGCATTTCTCAAGCTGCCGAGTCTGGGCCTTGAGCGACGAGAGCCGCCCTGTGGGGTCCAGCACTCTAACCACTGCCACCAGCTGGCCATACTCATGGTCATTTTAGCTGCAGCCACTGGATTAGAGAGACCAATGGCCAAACGGGAAAGAACACGAAAGGATGAAGCTTTGGAGGACCGCAGGCTTAGTTTTGGACATCCAGAGACATTTTGCGATGCCTCTTAAGAATCTAAGGAGACATGAAGGGCAGTTGGATACAGGAGTGTGAGGTCTAGGGAAGAGGTCTGAGCTAGAGACATGACTGAGAGCTGCCCTAGTGTGACAACCGTGAGACTACCAGAGCCACAAGATCCCGCGGAGTCGCTCAGGAAAAGTGCTGGTAACAGAGAGGGCAGCTCCAGGCGGAACCTGCAGGCTCAGAGAGGTCAGGAGCATGCACCCTGTGTTCAGTTCTGCCAGCATTTTCTCCTGTCGTTTCCAGAACACAGAATAACAATTATCCCCATTCTATGGGTTGAAAATGCCCTCGGTAGTTAGAGTACGCAGTGACATTGGAGTCCTCGATCTCTGTTGGCACGCTGGGAGACGACCCCGTGAATGCGGTGACACAGGAATGCACCCGCTGTCCCCATGCACAGGGTGGACCATTGCAGCCCGAGCTCTCAGGCCTCCGAGGCCCATCCGCGTCTGCGGAGCTCAGTGCAAGAGGCCCCAATGCGGTGCCCTCTCCCTTCTCCCAGCTCGGCTGCTCCCAGTGCCTCAGATGGACCCTGAGAACGGAGGTTGGCCCGATCCTTGGACTGGTGTCTCCTGTGGGGGAGACAGTTTGTGTGCTGATGATGAGGAGGTGAAGCTCTAGCCACCAGAGTCCCCTGGACGCATTCAGAGTGCTGCTTGCTCCGACCTCTGGCCAATATTTTCTTCCAACACAGAACTGGACCGTGTTTCTGACGTTCGCCCTGCCAGAGTGGTCCCTGGCCTCGGCCCTCAGTGGAGGTATTTCTGCCTTCCCTCCGAGGTCTGCATGCAACTGATCAGAAAGTCCCACTGAAAACACAATGCCCAGGCCCGCCACCGCTCGTTCCAATCTCCGCTCTGGCCAGGACGTAGGCACTGCTGGCCCCCGACCCCTCTCTGCCTGCTCTGCCCTCACTCCCCTACACGGCCCAGTGGATTGCAGCGAACACAAACCAAGTTGGGCCACGTGGCGGCTGGAACCCTCCCAGGCCTCTCATTCCAAAGTAAAGCCCCAGGTACGAGTGGAGGCCTCCTAGGCCTCGTTCCCAGGGTCTTGCTCCTCTCTCGACCTCAGAAGGTCTCACCTGAGGGTCTCATGACCTGCTTGTTCCAGGGGGCAAGGTTGGAGAATGTCAGGGAGTAGCATGTGTACCCATAGAATCAGAGGAACGAGCTGTTCTAAAGAGGTGGAGGAGTCTCGTCGGCCCAGCTGATCCAAGAGCCCTCGTTGGCATCCGGTGCTGGCATCCTGGACCTTCCCCTGGCAGCACTGGCCTCTGTGCTTTGGCTCCAGGCCGGGGGTGGCTCCAAGCCAGCTGGTATTTGCATTTAGAGGCAATGGACTCCCCCCACAACCCCGGGGATTAAATAAACTGCCTAAACTCAATTCAAACAAGCAACCAGAGCTGTGTCATGTCTTGAGGGTGAGCTATCAGGGCTTGAAGGCAGGGTGTCGAGAAGGACTGAGAAAATGACGAGGAAAAGGTTACAGCAGGGGCAAAAGCTCTCTCGGAGCAGAAGTCGACTGCACCGAAACAGCTGTTCACTCAGTTCCATCGGATGCGCAGTGGGGGTCTGGCTATAGAGAACGGACGATGTACATGACGCTCTGTAGGCTACGTCCCTGGTACAAGGTCGTGGCTATCATTAACTTAGTACTTAGACAACGGCTTGGCTGCAGAATGTCACCCAACATCTTGAGACACAGCCCGGGCCTGGAGCTCCATCTGGGTGACCGCGCAGTCCCTGGGCATTCTGACCCGGAATGGGGTTGCCTTCGACTCCCTCCTGCATTCTTCCCTTCTGGCTAGCTTTCAGGCCTGGGCTGGTTTCTGTCTCCAACATTGAGGGCTTTCTCTTTTAAACCACGCTTGACTCTTATCTTTTCATGAATTCGTTGTTTTAAAATGTATTTAGAAGACCAAGAGTTGAATGCCTCTATTATATATGAGGCTTATGGGAATTTACAAGCCCTATTGTAAAACTGGGTCACTTCGATGTTTGCAGTAATATGCTCTGTAGGCATTTGCAAACACACTTGTGAAAAAGCAGAAAATGGGGACCAGTGTGGCCATCTCCTCTTGGGGGTGATTTCTTGCTTTCTGTCTCTCTCTCTATGTCTCCAGCAAGCACAGGAGCCCTATTGCTAAAAGCTCTCTTCTCTCTTAAAAAAAAAAAAAAATCAGAGAATGAGATTTCGGAGCTTGGGTTTGCACTGCCCAGTGCACAGTTCACCCTCCACAGCGCAGACCTAAGAAGAGTTCAAACTAGTTAGGTAATTTTTAGGGTCCAAGGGTCATTTTTCCTTTTTTTAAAAAACAAGAAAACCACACACACAGATGCCTGCACACGCACACACCTTGTGCTGGTGTAAGGAAATCGCTGTGCCACCACCAAGTATGTGCAGGCAGCTCCTCCGCAGTTCTTTTGTTTCACAGCCTAAATTTCCCAGTGCCTACAAGTGCAGATAGCCTCCTGCAGGAGAAAAATCTCTAACAGTGGAAATAATTCTTCAAATATATTCAAACCTGTTCATAAGGAAATGGGTAAGATTAAGGTAGCTACTTAACCTTAGTTTCATTGGTCGTCAGCCTGTGCATGAGTGTCCATTTCACAGGTGACTAGTATAAAACCCATGACATAACTAACACGGTAACTCCTTGTAATCCTCTTTTTAAGGTAAATGCCAGGATTAAAGTAGCTGTGGACAAGGTGGCTCCAGGCACGGAGAGTAAGGGCGAACTCCGGTGCCCTCGGAGCTCGCAGGACAGAGGAAGGCCCTGGTCTCACCGCTGGAACCGCAGTTCAATGCCACATACTGGGACTATGCATATCTCCACTGTCTATCCTATGATCTGGGCTTTTATTTTAAAGAGATTTTTTGGGTGCATGTGCTTGCCATAGAGAGAAATCACTCTCCAGGGTGAGTGGCCATGGTACAATCTCTTCCCTATTCTATCATGATTTTGGGCATGCGTCCACATGCATAGGGTGCGAGTTTTAAGCCGCTGGTTCTGGGACTCAGCTGCAGTCAACTAGGTGGGAGTTCAGCGACGTAAACATTACGCTTTCTGCTGGTCCCTGACCTGATTGAAAGGTGGCGACCGAACTCCCGCAGGCATTAGTAAACTCAGAGGGTGAGGCCTGGAATAGACCAGCTGTGGTCTGGAGTGGGGGTGGAAAGGGTGCTCGAGGAGCTTCAACGGTTGGTCACAAAAGCCGAAAAACTTGTACAGCAGTCCCCACGTTGTTAACGTTTCCCCTTTTAATGAGTTCTGAAGGACAAATAAAATGAAGAAAAAGAAAAATAAAAATGGTCAAGTGTTGGTGGAGAAAATAACTTAGCTAAGCAATCAATGCTGGACAGAAAGCACTTTCCTTCACAGGTAAGAACGGGTTACTGCAGAGGGAAAGCTCAAATTGGCCATTTTTCCTCAGCGATCCTTACAGACCTTCATGTTGGAAGATCCCAACACTGATAAGAGAACTGTCAGGGTACTCAGTTACAGATCTTTAAGTGATAACATGGGTGGCTCTTAAAAGAGCCTTTTAAGTTGGCGTTCACAGACATGCTCACTTGGAACTGGTGTACTTGGTGACGGCCTTGGTGCCCTCGGACACGGCGTGCTTGGCCAGCTCCCCGGGCAGCAGCAGGCGGACGGCCGTCTGGATCTCCCGCGACGTGATGGTCGAGCGCTTGTTGTAGTGCGCCAGGCGCGACGCCTCGCCCGCGATGCGCTCGAAGATGTCGTTGACGAACGAGTTCATGATGCCCATGGCCTTGGACGAGATGCCCGTGTCGGGGTGCACCTGCTTGAGCACCTTGTACACGTACACCGAGTAGCTCTCCTTGCGGCTGCGCTTGCGCTTCTTGCCGTCCTTTTTCTGCGCCTTGGTCACCGCCTTCTTGGAGCCCTTCTTCGGGGCCGGCGCCGACTTCGCTGGCTCAGGCATTCTGAACACTCCTGCAAGTCACAGCAAATGAAACGTAGGCGCTCCGTACTGCCGCTTTTATTTGCTCCCTATATGCAAATGAGGGATAGCAAGTTTGATTTCTGATTGGTTCTATATCTTACACTCTGATAGGCTGTTATTTTATACCAGTCTCCCATTGGTTCTTCCCATTATGCCGCTTCAGGTAATTTGATCTTTCAACTGTTGCAGTCACTTTATGTAAATTAGAAGCGTCGATGTAAATCTGCTTTTTGAATGGCTGAAATTTGTACTCGGACATCCAGGATAGGCTATTTTACAAAACCCATGAGGAGTATAATAGTTTAGCTCCTGTTGTCCGTTTGTAGTTCATTTTCTGTGTCCTTAGGTTGGTTTGGTTGTAAATTATGTCCCGCCGGGGCAAGCAGGGCGGCAAGGCGCTCGCCAAGGCCAAGACCCGCT